CCATGCACCACGGTAACCATGAACGAAAGATCTTGCCTCCACGAATTGACCAACTACAAAAGGAAGGCCACTCTCGCCCATAATAACCAATAAACACGTAATGACTGCAACATAATTATACCAAAGTTTAAAGTGTCTCCCAAATAAAGAGGTTGAGAAACAATTAAAAGTAGAAACATGGAAATCATCTAGTCTAATTTCCTCTAGTAAATTTTGTTCTAGTTTAGGTTACACATTAAGTTCCATCACCGAAAGTGTAGGGCAAGCCAGCAAGGGATTCCAAAACTTGGCCACATTTTCTTTAGCTTCATTGGGTAGATTTTCTTACACTGATTTTTCTTGAACACTAAACACTTTAATAATTGTCCATTTTTAAAGAGCACTATCAACAACATCACTTGTTTGCAAGTCCTAATAATAGTTGATAGGGCCTCTATACCAAAACTAGATGCAAGCCAAATAAGGAATGTTCAAACCGCAACAATAATAGAGGAATTCTCCCTTCTCAGACGTTGTACCATGAAGTTGTACAATTATTCCTAACATGAATTCTCCCTTCTCAATGATTTATGTGATTGCTAGATAAAATGACATATTAATAAAAGATGTCAAACTGAATCAATGGTAGGTGATAGTGTCTAGAAACTTGCAAGATTGGGAAATTGAGGAATATAAACACTTGCTCTAAACTCTATCTCACATCCACCTAACTGACAGCAATGACAAACTCATCTGGCAACACACCAAATCTGATAATTTCTCAGTTAAATCCCTGTATAAGACTTTGGTCAGCAATATTCCACAAGAACATAAGAAATTTCCAGCTAATATTATTTGGAAATCAAGTGTCACTCCAAGAATTTTCTTTTTTGCATGGGAAGTAGCAAAGAGTCGCATATTTACACTAGATAATTTATTGAAAAGATGTTTTGAAATTGTCAATAAATGTTTTCTCTGCAAAACAGTACTAAAACGTATAATCACCTACTCCTGAGATGTCCAGTTTCTCACAATCTCTGGTCTACTATTGTTGGCCTCATGGGACTATCTTGGGCCAAACATAAATCAATTTTGGATGAATTGTTTGCATGAGAAGGATTGAGTTGTCACAAGAGATTTTTAGACTCGTCCCTCTCACTACATTTTGGATCATTTGGAAAAAAAAAAAACAATCGTGCTTTCGAAGGAAAAGAAGTCAAATTCAGAATCATCACTAACAACTGGTTCCATTACTTCGAGTCCACTAGTTTAGAATATAACATTGAATACTTTGATGATCTCGGCTCTATAGTCGATTGTTTAATTGATTTGTAATTTTTTTGTAAATGAACGCACCCTCTTTGGCACCTTTACTTCAATACAATCTCATACTTTTATTTCAAAAAAAAATTCCTGACATGAATTGCCAGGCAATAAAGGGGTTTACTTTCTTATTCAATGATGTGAGACATATTATTACTTGAAAATCCCACTGAAATCCTTAGGGAATTGGAGTTTTAGTTACTTTTTAAGGATGAAAATGTTAAAATGTTCCCACATATGTGAGGAAGAAAGACTATGCTAATCTGGAGATTAAGAGGCTTGCCTCTAACATTCATCATGATGGTCTTAAGGAGAGAATGGGTAAGTTTAATTCCTCAAAATATTTATTACTTGGAATGTTAATGGTTTGGGAAATGCTCTAAGAAGAAGAAGAAGAAGATTAAGGAGGTTATTTTCGAGGAAAAAAAAGATTAAGGAGGTTATTACTCAAGTAAGTCTGGGCATTATTCTTATCCAAGAGACCAAATTGGCTAATACTAATCCAATTGTAGTTCAAAGTATTTGGAAAGGTACTTTTTATTTCAAAAAAAATGTATTTGGAACTCTAGGTTTAAGAGCTGATCTACCAACCGGTCTCTGGGGATTCCCAGGATTATCTAGGATACTAGAGCAGCATGGTTGAGGGCTTTGTCTCTCTTTTTTTTCCTGAATATTGTGGGTAAGGGCACCAAGCAGTTTTGTTGGCTGTATTGGCCTATGCATCCTAGGTAACCAAGGAATCACAGTGTTTTCAAAAATCAATCCCTCCAATCTAGTGAGAAAAAATAACATTTTTGGCCTCGTTATGGGTAAATGCTAAATGAAAAATTTTCAGATATTTTTATCTCTATCTCTATTCTTCATAGGACTTGGGGGGCAATAATATTTTTACCTTTGGAGGGTGGGTTGCTACTTAATTCTG